AAAAAAAAAAAAAAAAAAAAAAAGAGGAACAGTCTTGAGCCACTAGATGGCACTTGAACACAGCAGAAAGTGAAGTAGACAGCCAACTGTAAGCAGTGCTGCAACTGGAGGTCATGCACGGCATGATAACGCCTGATCGACGATGGACTGTACATATGACAGTGGTCTCATAGGATAACACTGGAAAATTCTTTCTCTATGTTTGGATAACAGTATTCACAGTAGAAGATTTGCAGCCAAGGAGCAGTAAGCTATAGTTGCCTAGGTGTGTAATCGACTACAATTGAGCTTTGTGTAAGTGCATTCAGTGATGTGCACACAATGATGAAAACGGCTACTGATACATTTCTCATATTCCCATCATTAAGTGACACATGACTATTTTAAAAGTAGTAACCAAAACCAATACTATTTGCTAAGGAAAGCCTGTGTTTTCAAGGTCATACTGGGTTACTCAGATATAAACTCAAGGTATGTAATACTTTGAGTCATAACTTGTAGACTTGGAAAGAATCAAATGGTTTTCAGATAAGATTGAAGCCTAGGAGACACTCCCATTTTTCCACACTGCCCTTTGGGAGGACATTTTGATGGAAACGCTTACCTTGAAATATTAAAACATAAGCTTATTCAAAGTGTTTTGTTTCTAAAGCATCGTTTGGATTCTAAAATGCCATAGCTTCCATGGGGAGGATGTCATTTTGGCTATTGTTTCTTATGGAAGCTTCTACTTCGGGTATTGCTTTATGTATCTTTTACCCACAACTAGTAACATTTGTGAATTTTTTTAGTTTACAGAAACAGTATGCTAACCATTTTGTCATTGACTTTAAATTCACCTTGTTTTTGAATTTTACCATGTGTTTGTGTAGATGTAGTGCATTCCTGTAAATACTCTACAGTATTTCTGTGATATGGACTACACCACAGCTTATCAGTCTGATGATGTTTAGGGTTTTTTTTTGTTTGAGACAGGATCTCACTCTTTTGCCCAGGCTGGAGTGCAGTGGTGTAATTCTAGGCTCAATCCTAGGTGTAATCCAGGCTCAAGTGAACCTGCTGCCTCAGCCTCCCAAGTAGCTGGGACCATAGGTGTTTTCTACCACACCTGGATAATTTTGTATTTTTATTTTTTAGAGACAGCATCTATATTTTCTAGGCTGGTCTTGAACTCCTAAGCTCAAGCACACCTCCCATCTCAGCCTCCCAAAATACAGGGATTATAGGCATGAGCCACCACATTTGGCCTAGGTTGTTTCTTATTATTGCTTTTGTGAATTCTGGCAACATTCTTATATAGGTTTCCTTGTATGTATGTGGTAAAATCAGCCAGTTAGAGGACTGTAAGTGCAGTTGCTAGAGTTGTGGGGTAATGTGCATTTTAAGTTTTATGAAGTATTGGCAGATTTCTTCTCCAAAGAGATTGCCATTTGTACTCTTTACAAGAATCCCCATATTTCCAAATCCTTACCAACATTAGTCAAGCATACTCATTTTTGTCTAGCTGATAAGTGGGGGGAAAATGGTATTGTTTTAACTTGCATGTGAGTCAACATTTTTTTTCTTTTTTTTTTTTTTGAGTTGGAGTCTCACTTTGTCACCCAGGCTGGAGTGCAGTGGCATGCTGCTCATGGCCACCACAGCCTCGACCTGCTGGACTCAGGTGATCCTTCTGCATCAGTCTTCCAAGTAGCTGTAACTACAGGTGTGCACCATCATGCCCAGATAATTTTTTTTTAGTTATTGTAGTGACGAGGTCCCACCATGTTGCCCAGGCTGGTCTCGAACCCATAGGCTCAGGCAATCCACTCGCTTTAGCTTCCCAAAGTGCTGGGATTACAGGCATACCACGCCCAGCTTACATTTTTTTTCTGTGCATATTGGCTGTTTCTGATGTATTCATGTATTGCAGTAAAGTTAAAGTAAGAGTTTTATACAGAATACCATTCTCGGAAGTAGTGAATTTTAATATTGTATTTATAAAAATCCAACTTGGTACACAAGTACATATGCCCTATGATTTTATGCATACATCCATATACATATATCAAGGTAAAGTCCAATACCAAAAAATAACATTTCCTGTGACCAGTGTTCTACAGAAGTAAGATTGCAGAGTGTATCTGAGAGATTACAACACTCTAAGGCAGGACAAGGCAGAAGCAAGTTGTGTCCACAGTATATCCTTGCATAGCTTATTTATTCTTACTTGGTAAACTCATCTTAGAATTATGAAGGATTTTTTTTTCCTAAATAAACTTACACAAGTTAGTATCTACTTTTTGTCTTTGTTCTATAGCAAACCAGCTTTCTCAGAACTGGCTATGTTTAACTTCACAATCTCAATTTAACAAGAGTTTGAGCTTTGAGGCTCTGAATTGCTTTTATTGTAATCCTTGATACAATGACACAAATATGTAGAGTATTTCTAATCTTCATCTGTATCTCAGGCGATTTTCCAGGGCTTCCATTCTCTGTGTCATTTCTTCTAGTAAATCTCAAATTAAGGAAGAGGAATCTGAATTGCCTATTTTTATTCACATTCAAATACAAATTGATTTATCTACATTTAAAAAATTGACTCCTGAAATATAAAGGGCTTTGGGGTTTTTCCATTTCTGACTTGTTTACAGTACTCATTTAACATATGATGTCAAGACAAATATATTTCAGGGTAAGCACTTAAAAAAAATATCATCGAAGCCAGATAGATAGCTTAGTATATTTTTTGACTTAAAAATAAAATTTATATTCCACTCTCACCCCTGTTGCTTGTAAATTAGTTTGCCATCGCACACTGCTGGGAGCCAGAATTGATCATGTTGGAAATGTGGTGAGAAGAAAATGAAAGGATTCATGGTTTTGGGAAGCAAGACATGAATGAAGGCAGGAAAGGGAGATGGGTGGTTTTCACCTTCAGTACCAGATAAAGCCAAAGGGTGGCAGCCTTGAGGAATTCGGACTTAAGATACACATGTATTCTCTTTAGTCTGTGAAGTAGACATTCAGGCAATGGGTGGGCAAAGGGAGAGAAAAGGGCATTAGAATCAATGTTTATCTTCCCTTGACTTCAGGCTCCTCAATTCCCTCATCTGCCCTCTTGGCAGAATGAGAGCTCAGATTCACCATCTATTAACTGCTGTCAGAAAGTTTATTTTACTTAGGAAGCATATTTCCAGCTTTCAGAAAGGGAAATGCTATATACTGTTGTTCCTTATGTAAACCTGTTGGCACAGAGGTAGTTTAGAATTAAACCGTTTTCCCTATGGGCTACTGAATGCACGTCGTGATAGATATCTACCAGCTTTAGTAAGCTTATTGTAATTTTAAGTTCAGTTGGCAGAACGTGCAATGTATGAACGCACTGAATCCTCATTTATTATCCCAAAGCATTCCTTTTATTTGTAATATTGTTTTAATGAATCATTGGACCCCTACTGTTTCCTTGGTAAAATGCTTCATTTTTTAGAGTACTGATAGAAAAGATCTCTGCCGCAAAAAAAAAAAAAAAAAAAAAAAAAAAAATCCCATCCCAGTCCTCTGGAAACTACACACTGAATCCAAATGTGGCTGCAGCTTGGGGTTAAAGGTTTGGAGGTTAGGTTGGGTCTGAAACTTCTTCATTCTCATATTGTGCTTTTACACACTATGCTTCTGATGGGTTTCAGACCTGCACATACCCTGCATATTCTCCCAGCAGAGAGGGAGTGAAGTCAGTCTCTGCATGCTGACTGGACTTATCTCCTTGACCCCAACACCCCCTCCCACTTCCTCACCCCACCCCACACCTTCTCAACAGGATAACAACTAAATGCTTGACCACTGCCTATCAGGCTGCTTTCTTAAGCCAAGCTTTTCAGAGTTCATTGCATTCCATATAGAAGCATAGAAAAGGATATAGCGCCGTGTTAATTTTCTTACTTCTTCGTTTGCAAGGTTCTGGAACATTATAAGGTTTTCACATTTGCATTGATCGTGTTTTTCTTCTAAAGGGCTTCCTGAGAAAGCAGATGGAAAGTGTTCACCTCTATAATCCACTAGACTTCCCAGACGCATAATAATAGGACTGAATCAGCATATGGAGGAAACCATAATGAAAGAAATGTCCAACTTTTTCCACACAGCCAAATCCAGTAAAGTAAATACCAGGAAAGGGCTACATATGCTTCCAGCATTGGAAGCAGCCTTTATTGTGGATTAGCAGGGACGACTACTCCAGTTTCTTTTAGTTTATTTTTCTAGTTCTCATTTTACTTAAGTTCTTTTTCCTCTTCCTCTTTCCTACTTCCTCCTTTCCTCCTTAGCGCTAAGTTTGTTGGCAAACTGAGACTGGAGTTGAGTTATAGTAATATTTTACTTGGAATTACCTGAAGGTTTTGTTGAATGGGAAAGTTTTTGTGTAGACCGTAAAAGATTGTCTTCTTCAAACAGGTATCTGTGTTGCACTGCAAAATTAGAACAGGAAAGTAGGTCTTGGATATTTATGGTGACTGGCTCAGATTCTGTAAAGAAAGAAAAGTGGAGTTAAACATGCTTAACACTATTGTGGTTATAAAATGGCCATCAACAGAATAAAGTACTTGGTATTCCTAGCACTTGGTACAGAGCTTTACTTTGGGATACATTGTGCAAAAAGACTGTCATCAAACGTGGCTTAAAAGTATAGAATAAATATTTACTATCTTTTATAGAAAAAAAGGCCTCGTTATTATAATTAAACTTACTTTCACTTCTTTTTCTTTTTTGAGTAAGCGTCTCACTCTCACCCAGGCTGGAGTGTAGTAGTACAGTCACAGTTCGCTGCAGTCTCAATCTCCAGGGCTTAGGAGATCCTTCTGCCTCAGCCTCCTGAGTAGCTGGGACTACAACAAGCACACACTACCACGCCCGGCTTGCTTGCTCATTCATTCATTTTCGTAGACACCTGGTCTCACCATATTGCCCAGGCTGGTCTTGAACTCCTATGCTAAAACAGTCCTTCTGCTTTGGCCTCCCGAAGTGCTGGGATTACAGATGTGAGCCACCATGCCTGGCCACTTACTTTCACTTCATCACAACTTTTATCCAAAGGATGCTTTGGTAGGAAGCACCCACTAAAGATTCTGAAAACACTGCTTTTTAAAATTTACCTGTTGGCTGTTGGGCCCTCTTTGGCATTCCCCCTGCTGGGGAGTCCTGTCTTCCATCAGAATCTTCTAGAGCTGAGTGAAAAAGATGACCAAAAGGAGTGACAGTTGTCCATGTGCATGCATGCATTCTTCAGGAAGCTGGTTCCAAACCAACTCCTTACCTACCTGCCATAACGCAGGGTTTTCTGTTTGATTTGATAACACAAAACATTCAAAAAAGCAGTGGGTGACTGTGATCTCTATGACCGCTCTAGCACAGTTCTTTCTAGTAAGAGAAGCCTAGACTCCTTAAGTACATCTTACTTAAGCATGCTCCCAAAATGTTCTGTCTGGAAGGTAGGGCAGAAAACAGGTGAAGCTGTTGAAGGATCCCGTGGCGACGGCAGCAGCTCCACTGGAGATATTTTTACTTGAGTGAAGCCAAGAGGCAAAACATTCTCCACTCACGAAATCCCCAAGGCCCTCCCTCTCTGCCCTTACTTAGAGACACCGCACTTAGGCTGGGATTTTACTGGTGACTGAATTGAGACATGAGCCCAAGGAAAAATGGGCAGCAGCTATGTGTGAGCACACCTGGCACAAAGAGTGAACTGAAGAACAGCAGATAGAACAGCCTGAGTTCTGAAGGGTGGTCTGATACTCTGAGCAGGCAATTCTTGCAGGAAGGTGTTCTTTATGTGCTCAGCAGCTTGGATGCACCACTGTCCCTCTCCACTCCAGTTGGGGTTGTATTCTGAAGCTGCACCTCTCGAGTTCCACAATGACCATTTCAGCTAAGTGCCTGTCTCTCTCTAGGGTTTATGTAAGGATAAAGCACACTGGCATGTCGAAACACTCATCACAATGCTCTGCCCAGAGCACATGCCCAAGCAGCTGTGAGTTGTCTTCCCTCCTCCCTGCATCCCTTTTTGTGCTTAGTGTTTCCAGGTGTCACTGGCACTGCCCCCCATGGAGGCATGCAAACGGACTTTCTTAGATGCAAGCTACAGTACCTTCGCAGATGCCTTGCTTTAGCTTGTCGCTTATCTCGCCCATTGTGCTGAAGTCTTCGGCATAGAAGAGATGCTTGTCTGTGGGCTCAGAGGCAATCTCTTGTAGTTCTTCCTCAATGGCTTTTCCGACCCCAACAGCATACATAGTGATCCCTAAGGTGCAGAGCAAATTGAGAACACAACAGTTAGGGCTGTGTTCCCAGGGTCTGGAAGTTGTATGTTGTACCCAGTGCCAGATAGAAGTTAAGTGGTGTGATTTAAGGGGTCCGTGTCAACCTCTCTTTCTATTTATTTTCCCACTATTTTTATTTTGGCCCTGTGAGCAAAAGAGAGAGATCTGAGAGAGGTGAGGCCCCTGGGGGAGATAAGCCACCAGCCTGTTGCTTTCTGAGTAAGGAGGAAAGAGCACTGTCTTATGGCTTGCTAATGGGAGTCTCTTCTGGAAGAATGCGAAGAAGCAAGTACGTGTGTGACCTTATAGCTTAGTTTCTACAGGATAGGGAACTTAAGTTACCTGGAGCCAAGTGAAGCTGCCTTTTGCCCCCTCTCTTGGGAGGACACCACCTTGTAAGGGGTACTAAGCTGCAAAGGGAATCTACAAACCATTGGAAACTGCCAAAGGCAAGAAAAAGAAAAAACTCAAAAATCAACCTTAAATTTCAAAAGGGATATGATTTGCTTCCAAAGCTTCTCTAAATCAAAGGAATCATTAGACTTCCTTTCCCTATATACTCTTCATTTAAAAGTAAAACATGCCGGGCGTGGTGGCTCCAGTCTGTAATCCCAGTACTTTGGGAGGCAGAGGTGAGAGGATTGCTTGAGCCCAGGGGTTCAAGATCAGCCTGAGCAACTTGGTGAAATCTCGTCTCTACAATAAATCTAAAACTTAGCCAGATGTGGTAGCATATGCCTGTGGTTCCAACTACTTGGAAGGCTGAGGCAGAAAGATCACCTGAGCCCAGCAGGTCGAGGCTGCAGTGGCCCTGAGCATGCCACTGCACTCCAGCCTAGGCGACAGAGTGAGATTTCAACTCAAAAAAAATAAACAAAACACAATAAGAAAGAAGTTTTGCTGGATTTCCAGTACTTTTCAGCACTGTTGTCTTATTCTGGCTAATTTATTAGACTATATTTTATTTTATTTTATTATTTTTTTTTTGAGTTGGAGTCTCACTCTGTCACCCAGACTGGAGTGCAGTGGCCACTCCTGGCCACCGCAGCCTCGACCTGCTGGGCTCTAGCGATCCTTCCGCCTCAGCCTTCCAAGTAGCTGGCG